ATGCTCAACCACTGAGCTACGCTGGCCAGGCTAGAACAAATTCTTAGTAATTTGAAATAGGCTAGCTAGACCCAGGCTGCAGTTAATTTGCAGTGTTTCTGAAGAAGAAATTCAGAAAGTAATTAATTGAAGTAATAGTATAAGAAGAATGTTTCACCTTAAGCAGATAAACTCCTTTAAAAAACACTTTAGAAACATTTTGGTGGTTGTTATATGAACTTTCATTCATTACAAGTCAATTAATAAAACAGACCCAGCAGGGCTGCTTTTTGGCAGCAGTTTGTAACCAATTACTTGGAGTTGGATAAACAGTAAACATTCTTACACTCATGCATATGGTAAAATCATCTGATCTTTGAGGAAATCAAAGGACTGTTTAAAACATTGCATAATTACAACATGTCAGTAGCTTTTAACCACGAGTTAATTAGACATTCCCAAGAGAGGGGAGATTCCCAAGGAAAGAGGAAGGCTGGTTTTAGTGGAAGCAAGGAACTAAAAGGCAGGCAGACTGTGCTACTTTTTAAATGAAACTTACTTGTGAAGGGATAGAGAGAGAAATAAAAGAGGAGAGAGAAGAAGAGAGACTGAGATAGAGTAAGAAAGAGAAAGAGAGAGGGAGGGAGGGAGGGAGAGAGAAGGAATGAGATATTTGAGCATATAGACTTGAGAGGGAGTGGTGTTTATTATTATTTTTTAAAATATATTTTGATTGATTTCAGAGGGGAGGGAAGTGGGAGAGAGATAGAAACATCCATGATGAGAGAGAATCATTGACTGGCTGCCTCCTGCAAGTCCCCTCACTGGGGATCGAGCCCACAACCTGGACATGTGCCTTTGACCAGAATTGAACCTGGGACGTTTCAGTTTGCAGGCCGACACTCTATCCACTGAGCCAAACCGGCGAGGGTGGTGTTATTATTTTTAAGGTAGAAGGGACCTGGGTGAATGTCACTTGGAATGGCTGCGGGGAAGGAGCTGTGCAGAGAGGAATAATGCAGGACAGAGAAGAAGCTCAAAGTAATGGTGTTGGAGGACATGGAGAAGCTGGGATCTAGCTCACAGGGTGTAGTTTCAAGAGGGGCTTGCTTTCTTTGAGACTAGAAGGAGGAATGTGAGGAGACATGGGGTTGTAGGTATACTTGTAGATGCTGCTGGGATAAAATTTTAAAGAAATAATGACTTTATTATTTGCATTGAGCACCTGCCTAGGACCATTTTTTTTTTCATCTCTAATCATAAACCTGTCATTGACTTGTGACCCATGATTTTTTCTAAATGTTTCAGGGTGCCCCTTATGGTAAATTATGTTGGCCAGTCAAGATATATTTTATAAGAGGAAAAATGTGAAACACTGACTTGCTCATATATGTGCTCTACTCATTGAAATTAAGCTTGGTGGGTCTGGTTGAGAAATCTTTTATCCTTTTGTCAGGAAATCCGACTTATTGATTATGAGAAAATGGTGGATCACAGAGGAATCCGGGTTGTGGCGTTCGGACAGTGGGCCGGTGTGGCAGGTAGGTGTGTGGGCGTTGACATCACCGTGTCTACATTGGACTGTGAATGACAGTGTGTGCTTTTTCTTTTTTGTGGCAAAGAGATGGAAGTGTCCATTTTCACCAATAAAAATAAACGTGAGGGTGCATCTGAGGGTGATGACTATTAGGGGCTAGAATAACAAAGTAAATCATGAAAATATGTTTTTGATAAAAATTAAAAAGAAAAAGAGGGCAGGGAGAAGGAAAGCAGCTGTAGATAGGCTCTGACTTTCTCAGTAGTTCTGTTTGGAAGACTAGGCGGGGAGGTCAGTTTGGTGATGAGAACTTGGGGAGTAGAAGAAAGGGACAAAGAGGAAAAAGCTACGGGGCAGGAGCAACAAAAGAGAAAAATATAGGAGGGATAGAAGCTGGAGTTTAGGTAAAAACTCTACTTGATTTTTCAGTTAGTACTTTGAACCTTGTTTAGTCAAGAAACACCATGTGGTATAACTGTATCATATTAGAGTACCTGAAGGTCCGTTATCCTCAGAATAAGTAGAAAGAAATTTGTAGGGACATAGGATACTAACACACTACCATCCTCCCTGATAAAAGTGACAGTCATTGAGCACTTCTCAAATTGCACAATACATATTCTTTTCAAGTCATGTGGAACATTCACCCAGATGGTCCACAAAACAATTCTTAATTAATTTAAAAGATTTGAAATCATGGAGTATGTGCTCTATGGTAAAACTGACTTAGAAATTATAATTGCAATGGGGGGAAAAAGGAGACATATGTACTACTATTTGTAATACTTTAAACAATAAAATAAAATTTAAAAAATAAAAATAAATTTAAAAAGAAATTATAATTGAAAGTAAACTAGAAATTTTCCAAATATTTGAAAAAGAAATGATGTATTATTGGATAACCCATTCAAGAGTCAAGAAGAAATCACAGGACAAATTAGAAAATATTTTTAATTGAATAAAAGTTTAAAAACAGCATGCCAACGTTTTTGGGATGTGGATAAAGTGGTGCTTAGAAGGCAATCTATAGCATTTAATGCTTTTATTAGAAAAGAAGAAAGTTCTCAAGTTAATGATCTAAACTTCCATCTTAAGAAGTTAGGAAATGAACAAGAAATTAAACCAAAAACAAATAGAAGAAAGGACATAATAAAGGTAAGAGAGAAAAATCAGTGAAATCAAAAGCTGATTCTTTTAAAAAAATATTAATAAAATTGATAAATCTTTAGTTAGGTTGGTTAAAAAAAGAGAGAAGACACTATTTACCAATATTAGGAACCCAAGAGGGAACACACTATATATCTTACAAACATTAAAAGGATAAGAGAATATTATAAATAGTCCAAGAAATTTGACAATGGCAATAAAATAGACAAATTCTTGAAAGACACTAATTACCAAATCCAACTCAAGGAGAAATAAAAAACTTGAATGTCAATGTACAAAATAAATACCATACATAAACACTTAAGGGAAATGAATTATTTTTTGTAGAGACTTATTTATAGTATCTTCATTCATAATAGGCTAGAAACAGTCCAAATGTCCATCAGCACAGGAACAGATAAAGAAATAAAATGGAAAACTCAGCAATAGAGAGAAGCAAACTGCTGATACACCCAAAGTATGTATGGATCTCAAGAACATTGAGCTGAGTGAAAGCTGACACACAAAAAATATATACTTCACACATTTATATGAAACTGTAGAAGGAACTAATCTATACAGACAGAAATAGATCAGTAGTTGTTTTCGGCTAAGGGTTGGTGAGGATTGACTGGGGTGATGGAAATATTCTTATCTTGATTATGTTAGTGGTAATGTGGGTGGATACATCTGTGGCTGTGTTTTATTGTGTATAAATTATCCATTTAAAAGTTGATTTCAGAAAAAAGATAAAAGAACATTTTGTAGGACAGGAAAAGTATATTCCAACAAAGAAGAAAAGAATGGGTGCTGAGGACTTTGCTACAGGCAGCTGAGTTTTTATTTTTGGGGGGACATCCAAACTGAGAAATCCGTAAGGTGGATGGTTAGGTCTTGAAATAAAAATATCTGTGTTAGAGATCCAGATGTGGTGTCATCTGGATACAGAGAGTACTTGGAATTTAGGACCGGATGAAGTTAGCTAAGGGGAAAAACGAGAGATTGAAGAGAAGAGGGCCCGGGACAGAATCCTGAAGCTAGCTAGCTGATTAATTTTTAAGGCAAAGGCAGAGGACACTAATGTAAAAGGAATGGACATGGGATACTGAGGGAAGGGGACTCTGACAAAGGGGCTCTTCATTGACAAATACCTCTGACAAGCACGTCAAGATCTGAAGTGTCCACTAAGTTTGGTTATTTGGGTCACTAAAATTGCTAATAGGGGTCAGGGGTCAATGGTGACTGTTTTCATTTGTGGGGTTTTTTTTTTTTTTTTTTTTGGTATGGCAGGAATGGAAGAGTGTTTAAATGTTGATAGGAATAAACCAATAGACAGTGATAATGAAAAGAATAATTCAAGAGTGGATTCCTTCGAGAGGCAGGAAGGCATGGGATCTGGAGCAAAGGTGGGGCGATTACCCGTAGAGAAGAAGAGGGACACTCATTCCATTGCAGCAGGATTGAAAGCGGAAGGGAGGGCGGGCATGAAGCTGGCTCAGTGCCTTTGATCGCAGAAAGCTGAGGGTTTGGATAAGATGAAGGCCTCTCCCAGAGCTGAGATGCTGTGGTCTGTGCTTCCTCAGAGCCCTGAGTAGGTTGGAGAACGGGCAGAGAGAGCAGGTCCAACTTCTCCCAACTAATGGCCTTTCTGTCGGTCTGATTCTACAATAGGGATGATCAACATTTTGCACGGAATGGGTTTAAGGCTCCTTGCTTTGGGACATCACACACCTTTTATGGTGAGAAGTTGATTTTATTTTTTTTTAAGTACATATCACACTTTTAGAGTAGGAAAATGTCTCAAGTGGTAGACTAACTTGAATTGTGTGCTTGCTTTCAGCACATTGGCATGGCTCATAACTATAGGAACAGCAGCCAGGCTGTGCAAGCTGTCCGTGATGCTGGCTATGAAATATCTCTGGGTTTGATGCCCAAGTCGATAGGGCCCCTAACATTTGTGTTCACAGGGACTGGTAATGTATCGAAGGTAAATCCCTCCTGTCTTGTTTCTGTAAAGCAGCCTGAAACTCTAAGAGGGTGTGGGCGTGTCGTGAGCATTTCAGAGCCCCACTTTTTCATAAATGGGCATTCTGTTTGGGGTACTTTCCTTACTTATGTATGAACCTTTACTATAGGAAAGAGCAGTCATAGTCTAAACTTATGTTCTATGTTTTTAGTTGATTCCAAGCTGTGAGAGGTTTTGCATGCCTTTCCCCCCTTTTTAGAGGGAAAACTCATTTTTAATGGTGTAAAGCTCTGTTCTTAGGGTGGTCTGTTTTACCTCCATCACTGAGATATCCAGAAGTTTGGACGTTACCCTAGGCTGTAAATTTTTCAAGATGACTTGGAGTTTTGCTAATCGGATGCATTTAAGACTGGAATTAATACTTTCTTCTTCTGGGATGATTTAGAGGATGCATTTGTAGACACCACCCCCCCCCAAGAAACTTATAAAATAGATCTTTCTTTAATGAAAATATTTTACAAAGAGGACATCACTATCTGTATTATGCTGTGAGATAGGGGCCTAATTTTTGGGTAGGAAATATAGTTTCCCCACTTGAAATAATTTCTGCAACAGACCAAAAAGTAAATAGAAATACTTTATGGTGCTCTCATTTCTAAATACTCTTGTTTCTGGGCTGAATGTCTTAGATAATAAATTAAAGCCCCTTTCAGTGCATGGTGTTCACACTGTTTGCTGTGAGCAAAAACCTCATCTGTACTCCTTGTCGCAGTCCTGGTCGCAGGGCGGGACAAGTGGAGCTGTATAATTGTGGGGAAGATGAGTTAGAATCTTTGCATAACATCATGTTGGCTCTCTTCCTATTTGTTTTTAGATTTTTACTCATGTGTTATTTACAGGGGGCCCAAGAAATCTTCAATGAACTGCCCTGTGAATACGTAGAACCACATGAATTAAAAGAGGTTTCCCAAACTGGAGGTAAGAGGGGGAGGGTGGCTGTGTGTATTTTTTACTGTTTTCTTTTTTAACAGTGTCTGTGTTACAGTATTTTATCACTGTCAATCTTTATCATTTGTCACCCACGTTACTAATTTCCTTTCTCCTCTGCAAGACCTGAGGAAAGTGTATGGAACGGTGATAAGTCGCCATCATCACCTCGTCAGGAAGACAGATGGTGTATATGACCCTGTGGAATATGACAAATACCCTGAGCGCTACAGAAGTCGTTTTAATACCGATGTGAGTAGCACACTCAGCTTCTGAGCTGGTTGCTCACGGTACACCATAGCCAGGCTGTTTTCAGGAGAGAGATTATGGATGCGTACATTGCTTTTTAGTTCCTCATGTTGACTTGCGGTGAGACCCTTGGATGTTATGACTTGGGCGAAGGCGCTGTTGGCTTTTATTGACATTTGCAGGGGCCTTTGCTGAGTGGTTTTGGTGGTTTCTGTGGCTGTGCCCTTTATTTCACTGACACTGTTTCTTCTTCAGGTCTGTATGTGCCCAATAGCTCTAAACATTTCCTGTGGATTGTTATTTTCTGTGTTTATCCTGGACTAGCTTGTACTGTTGGCAAAGCACAGTGTCTATGAGGTTTGATTTCAACATAGATTTATTCCTTCCAGGCCATGAACTCAGCCAGCTGTCTTGAAATGCATGCCATTGATTATAGCGCTCCAGGTTCAAACAGTGAGGCTATAGATTTACAGCGGTTCTCAACCTGTGGGTCGTAACCCCTTTGGCGGTCGAACGACCCTTTCACAGGGGTCGCCTAAGACCATCCTGCATATCAGATATTTACTTTATGATTCATAACAGTAGCAACATTACAGTTATGAAGTAGCAACGAAAATAATTTTACGGTTGGGTCACAACATGAGGAACTGTATTTAAAGGACCAGAAGGTTGAGAACCACTGCTATAGAAGCATAGACCCATCCCCCGTGTACAAAAAAGTTACTTTCAATTAAAATCCTTCCGATGGGAGCACACTGGATTCATAAGGGCCACATGTTTGTATGTTCTGTAGTCATTGGTCATGCAACCATCCTCTTCAAAAGAAATCAACAGAAAATAAAACAAAAGTACGGGCATATATGGTGAGAAGAAATATTGTATTTAAATAATTTTGAATATGTTTCAACAACATAGAATTTTTAGATTCTGGCATGAAATGTAATGCTTAGCATGTAAAGCATGTTATAGGAAGAGCATCTTACCTGTAACTTGCACATTCCTGAGACACTTGAGAAAGAAATACTATGAAACTAGACTCAGACTGAAAAAGTTTGCATCTAGTAAATTTCCATCCCTTCTGTCTTTCCCAGTCACAGAAGTATCGGTGATTGGCTGCCTCCTAAAACTTATAATGACCTAGTTACCATGTACGCATGTATGTAGTGCGTTTGTCCATGGAGCCTACAGATGCTTTAATCTTTATGACTTTCCTTTGAGGATAGGGTATGTATTATCCCCATCTGGCAGGTAAAGAAAACAGCCCAGAGAAGTTGAGGTAGCCTGATTTAGGTCATGCTGCATAGAGCGTTAGGTCACCTGATTCTCTGTCCCTTCCTTTTCCTTAGCTATGTAATATATTAGAGAGCAAATGTATTAATCTATTTATGTTCATATATTTATCATGGGAACTTTTACACTGAATCTGGGTGGTTATTTATTGTCTCGGACTCAAAAGAAGTCCACTGACCTAGCAAATAAAGTCAACTTGAAGTAACATTAAAATATTTCTTGTGGAGTTTACTGATGGCTCTCTTCCAGCACACTACTGAAATACACTGTTTCCTAGTTTGTTGAACCCGAAACTTGCTTTACAGATTGCACCCTTCACATCTTGCCTTGTTAACGGAATCTATTGGGAACAAAACAGCCCGCGTCTACTCACCCGCCAAGATCTTCGGAGTCTCCTGGCTCCAGGCAAGTCCCCTGTTGGTGGTGTGGAAGGCTGCCCTGCATTGTCACACAAGTAAGGACCTTACTTCAGCAATGACGGCAGTTTTTAGCAGGGCCCGCCGTTAGGGTATCACACATAGGGGATTCGTGTGTCACAGGACTGGACTGTGACTGAGTAACTACTCAACTATCTTAACTGAGCTCTTGGGAACATTTGACAGTTAAACTTCCCTCCTTCTTGAATGTCTGAAGTTCTGTGGCTCCATATGTGGCTCAGAAGTCGCCTCCTCAGTGAGGTCCTTTCCGGCTTCCCCATTCCCTGTCTCGCTCGTCTGCTCTTCTGCTTCTTTACCGAAACCCACCGTCATTTTTTCCCCAGTGTTTATGGTCTTCCCTCTCCTCCTTGAACTTAGTCTTCTTAAGCAGAGGGCCCCCATTTCTCTTGGCTACAAGTACCCAGGGAATTGCCTGACAACTCATATACTGTCAAATAATGATTAACTGTCCAATGAATGAATCAATCAATCAATATTTATGGAACACCAGATCTGTCTGGCACTCTGCTGAGCTAAAAGATAAAGGAGAATAAAACTGTGCTTGCTCCCCGCCGGCATGTCACTGGCAGCAAGTAGGTGCCAAGGGAATGCTAGGAGCAGTCGATATTAACAGTGTTTAAGAGAAAGTGGGAGCAGGGCTCAGCAATACCTTAAGAGGGAGGAGTGAGGAGAATGAAATTGCAAGTGACAGGATTGCTACTTGATAAATACGGAGTCACCATGGCACAGTTTAAGACCCTGTGTGGGCCAGTCCAGGTCTAGCCGAGGGTTTACATAGGCAAGTGGTAATTGGAGATGGGGCAGGAATACGGGGTCAAACTCTAAAGGATTTCAAGTGGCGGACTCAGGCATTTGTTCATAAGTCTAGAGATTTCCATGTAATAATACATATAAAATTATGTAGTACAAAGCAGGGTGGAGGGAGTTGGCTAAGTAGGTTAAGTTCAGGCTGTTGTCAATGGCATATTTCGGGAAGGGATTTTCCCCTTTTATTTCCCTCTCCCTTTCTCTCCCCCTCTTTTTCTTCCTTGTGAATCCTGAAACTCATAGTGAGAAGATGTGGTCTATCCCAGAAGCACACAGGGAGCTGGAGGGAAAAAGCGAAGAGCCTAGGCAGCCACCTTAAAAATTGTCCCAAGCACCTTTCATTTTGAGTCATTTTTAATCTTGTTGGAGACTTTAGAGTGCCATGCTCTGATCTAAGTGTTGATGTTCTTTTCAGACTTGTAGCGATATGTGACATTTCTGCAGACCCAGGAGGATCTATAGAGTTTATGACTGAGTGCACGACAATAGAGCATCCCTTCTGCATGTATGATGCAGACCAGCATATGCTTCATGACAGGTGAGTTTGCTAAAGCTGTTAGATAGTGAGAAAGACATAAAAACACGTCATTTGCTTTGTATACTAGTCTTAAAATACTCAATATTTTACATCATTACGAAGACTATGCAAATTTCCAGAAATATACTGAAACATATTTAAAAATTTGGTAGAAAACCCGCATGCAAATTAGAACACTTAAATCCATATATATACAATGTTTAAGTGGGAGATAGGTTGCTGAAGAAGGGAAAACCTTTGTTTGACAATTCTTGCTTATTTTGTTACATATTCCAGTACCATATTACAAATTATATGAAGCAAATACAGTGGAGTAGGCATCTGGAAAAATTAGAACTCACAAGTAACATTTTGTACATCCAAATAAAGCATATTGCTTCTCCTAGTGTTGAAGGTTCTGGGATTCTGATGTGTTCCATTGACAATTTGCCCGCGCAGCTTCCAAAAGAAGCTACAGAGTGCTTTGGCGACATGCTTTATCCTTATGTTGAAGAAATGGTAAGCAAACCTAGAGCCTTGTAACACCTTCATGGCTGGAAATAGAACTGTGGTGTGATCTTATCGATGTTCTGGTCTCTGGTATTAAGAAATCTGTTGCAAAGTGAAATGCCAGCCCTTCCCTGAAGCCCTTACGGACACTTTACATATTCTGCTTCCTTGTCTCATGGGAAATATGGTTGAATAACTGTCTTCATGCTTAATTACAATTTGCACTTGCCTCTCCTTATGCATGTTTGAGTAAGAATGTTCATGACATGAAGATAAGATTAGATTTATTTTCAATTTTCCTGCTTTCTAGGTCAATTCATATGGGGGTATTCTTAGTGTGCTGTGATTAGCAGATTTGAAAAATTAGGTATACATAGGAAATTTTATTGGATTTTAGTCACTAATGCTTAGTTAAGTGACAGCTTTTCTTGAGGTCTTATATTTTTCACTGTGGTCAGTGATTGATTAATGAAAATACTGTGTTATCTAAATTCCATTTTCTTTTTTTCCCCTTTTTGTTAAATTTATAGGGGTAACATTGGTTAAAATTACACAGGTTTCATCTGTACACTGTATTGTGTGTTCACCACCCCAAGTCAAGTCTCCATCCGTCATCATTTATCCCACCTATACCCTTTTCCACTGGCACCCCCTCCCCCCGTCACCACACTGTTATCCCTGTCCACGAATTCTTCACGAATCCTTTCTCTCTCTCTTTTTTTTCTTTTTGGCTCAATCCTTCCATCTCCCCACCCAGCCCTCACCCCAGACAGTTGTCAGCCTGCTCTCTATCTATGAGCCTGTCTCTGTTTTGCTTGATAGCTATTTTATTCACTGGATTCCACATGTGAGTGAAATCATATGGTACCTGTCTTTCTCTGACTGGCTTATTTCACTCAGCATAATGTGCTCCAGGCCCATCCATGCTGTTGCAAAGGGTAAAATTTCCTTCTTTTTACAGCAGAGTACTATTCTAGTGTGTAAATTTACCACATTTTTTGTTTGTTGCCAAAGACAAGCCTTCTTATTTCAGTATTTACCTGAAGCCTTCATACTCAGCCTGCTTTATGTCTGCTGCTTATGGCTGACTGTGCCTGGCAGTGAGGCCCAAGGTGTGAAGCAGTGGCTGCTGTCCTTTCATCCTTGGCTTCACTCTGGAGCTCTCACACTGCAATGGGACAGTAGTTATGGGGCATGAATAAATGCAACTTTGTAAACTAGAGGCCCTGTGCATGGATTCATGCACTAGTGGGGTCCCTCCGCATGGCCTGCAGAGATCGGGCTGAAACCAGTAGTCCAACACCGCCTGCTGCTCCTACCTGCCACCTGCTCATCCTGGCCCCGCGTCACCTACCATGGGCTGGCGCCCAGTCAGTCCCGATTGGGAGAGGCTTGCGCCGCCGCAGCAGCACTCACCAGCCATGAGCCCTTCCTCTGGTTCACGTCAGTCAGCTGAGCGGTGCTCCTGCTGTGGGAGTGCCCTGACCACCAGGGGCAGCTCCTGCGTGAAAATCTGCCCCCTGGTGGTCAGTGCGCATCATAGCGACTGGTCGACTGGTTGTTCGGTTGCTTAGACTAGAGGCCTGGTGCATGGGTCCGTGCACATTGAGAGGAAATTAATTGGAAGAAATATTTTAGAGGCTGGGGAGGGACCGCGAGAAATTGGCCAGTCAGGGAGGGACTGCAGGAGGTTGGTTCCAGGGTGTGCCCGGCTTATCTCACCCAGTCCCGATTGGGGCCGATTGGGGCCGTCTTGCCCAGTCCCAATCTGGGCCGATTGGGGACGTCTTGCCCAGTCCCAATCGGGGCTGATTGGGCTGGCCAGCTGGTGAGGGACCATTGGAGATTGGCCGGCTGGGGAGGGACCGTGGCAAGGCTCCGGGGTGTGTCCGGTCCATCTTGCTCAATCCTGATCAGCCAAACCCCAATGCTAAGCTAACCTACTAGTCGGAGTGTCTGCTCCCTGGTAGTCAGTGCGTGTCATAGCAACTGGTGGAACGAATGGTTGGACACTTAGCATATTAGGCTTTTATTATATCGGATAGCCCTCTAAACAGCTTGGTGGGCTTGCCTTGAAGGCATTTATTTCTGTGCTATCTTGAAGAATGAATCTTTGTGAAAGTTGATGACTGTCTATATTTTGTAGTGTTGAAATATATGTGTCAGTTTACCACTAAAATATTAAGTATATTGTCTGTGATCTCTTCTGATAATTGTATATGAACTGTATTTAAAGTATATGCACTATCCTTCCCTCCTCCCCAACCCCCGGCCGATTTTTCTTCTTGACTTAAGGTCCATATAGCTTTTGTAGCATTGCAGGGTACATGCTATTATTTTGTACCAACATAGAATTTTTGTTTTAGTTGAATGCAATAGATATTTACTGTCTGTTGGAAGAAGGCATACACTTGGATGGAGAGAATGAAAATACAGGCTTTGACCTATAGAAGCATGAGGTCCAGAAGGGGATAAGTGTGCAAACCAGCCATCAGGTAGAATGTGACAATCATTAGAAAGATGGCAGTGAAGATGTGGAGAGAGAGGCTCTCTCCTGTTGGGTGAAGTTAGGAAAGCTTTTATGAAAGAGGTGACATTTGAGCTGGCTCTTGATAGATGTATAGTATCTGTTCCTTAGCCTGGTAGTGGGAGGCACAATATGTGATGGAGACAGGAGAGCAAAGGAGGGAGTTAATTTAACGTAGGGATTCTGATTGAAGTAAAGGTTAAGTATGTTTGTTCCATATTGGAAAGGGTCTTAACATCAGAAGAAATAGCTTGAAATTAATTTGGGCAAGAGGGATGAGGTCTCCATCGGCCCACGAACTAAAGGGTCCCGGCTTCGATTCTGGTGAAGGATATGTACCTAGGTTGCAGGCTGGGCTCGTGCAGGAGGTAACCAATCAATGTGTCTCTCTCACATCGATGATGTTTATCTCTCTACGTCTCTCCCCTTCCCTTCCACTTTCTCTAAAAATCTATGGAAAAAATATCCTCAGCTGAGGATTTCTCCCCTGCTTCCACTTTCTCTAAAAATCTATGGAAAAAATATCCTCAGCTGAGGATTAACAAAAAAAGAAAGAAAGAAAGAAAGAAAGAAAGAAAGAAAGAAAGAAAGAAAGAAAGAAAGAAAGAAAGAAAGAAAGAAAAGAAAGAGAGGAAGAAAGAGGAAGAAAAGAGTGATGAGCTCTCAAAGCTCTATGTGAAATGATAAGGCTTCCCATATGCTCAGGACCCTGTGCTTGCACGTGCGTAACGGGTGGATTGAGTAGCCTTTGGTTGTCTGGCATGTGTGCCTTTCTTTAAGTGAACTCATGACAACTATTAGTTTTCTTGGGGAAAAGCCCCTTGAACTTTAAATACTTATTTCATGTATCTACTGATATATTCACTGAATATTGACCATTTTATAATGTAGCAACTACATGGCAGGATGCCAAGTACAGCCCCTACCTTCCAGGTGTGCTTAGGGGCAGTTTTGGTAAAGACTTCACAGCTGAGACAGTTCTTCAGCTGTACCTCAGAGGAGGAAAAGTGGGAGCTCCAGGTAGAGGAACAGCATGGAGGCATTTACCTGGCTAGCACAGAAGCATACAGAAGCATGACCCGGAGCAGGAACTCCATGTTGTTAATGGGTCTGAAGAGTTGGGTGTGAGGCAAAAGGGAGAGCTGAGGTGGGGAGGCAGCACCAGCCAGTAGAGAACCTGTGGGACACTTAGGGACATTTCAAGAGACTTTATCTTGAAAGCAAGGGGAAGATATTGAGTTAGTTTACGTAGGCACAGGGAAACAATCAGTTTTGTGATTTAAATGAAAGGAAAAAAGGTGAGAGGTAGTTCCCATGATCCCAATAAGGCCTAAGTAAGACTAGAAATATAGAGAAAGAGCCCAGATAAGGGAAAGATACACAAGAGTTCAGTGGTTTGACCATATGCAGAGTGAAATTCAAGCCTCATTTTATTATCTACTAATGGTTTCCATCCTGTAGACAGGGTTGGTAGGTAGAGGAGTCAGCTTGAGAAGGGAGCACGCCAAGGGTGCCTGGGAGAAAGAGGCAGTGGGAGGACCCTAGGTGTGTTAATTCCATGAACTTCCCAAAGTATGTCGTGGCTTATTATATATATAAATAATTTAAATGCCCCTATCCTATGAATAGATAGCCTAGGTGTCTTGTGTTTTAGGTACCTGACAGTAGTTTTATGTATATTTTAATGCAGAAAGTAAATACTGCCATGCCAGCATCTGTTCAGTTTGCTCTTTCTTAATTGGGTGAGTGCTCTAGATTTAACCTATGGATTGTCTCATTAACCCTAACACCCTGACCACAAATGGATTGTCTCATTAACCCTAACACCCTGACCACCAGAAGCAACAATACTGATTTATATGATCTTTACCCCTTGGCAGTCTATTCTAGAGTGGGATTTTTTGTAAGAAAAGAGGAGACAGAGAAAGGTGCTAGGATGTTAAAATGAGTGACGTCATTTTTGTTGTTGGCCATCTGACTCATTCTTGCAAAATAAAGGGAAGCGTGTGGATGACTTTTTGAAACCTACTTCTTGAAGTCATTTTCCCTAACACTTTGGAAAAGCTGATGTGTCTATATTCAGAACTAATATTGACCTGAGGGAGATTCCCTATTGGGGCTTGGTGGCTTGTTGCCCGAACCTTTGAAATGTGAAGGAAGCCCCCAGAGCGAGGCTATAGACCTTGTGGTGATACTTGCCATCATGCTCAATATGACACATCTAACGTGTGTATGTGTGTGTGTGTGTGTGTGTATGTGTGTGTGTGGGCGGGGGGTGTGTGTCTCTGAGTTTTCCATGTTTCCAGTAAGTGGAGATGAATTTAATCAGATTTTACTTTTAAAATTGAGAAATAGCATGTGTTTGGGGGCAGACTTCACTGCTTGCAGAAGTCTTCATTACCAATTATTGATCTTTAGAAACTTTTCTAAATCCCTTTTTCTTTTGACTAATGTAATATGAATAGAAATGCCAAGAAGCCTTCCTTGCAATGTCATTTATCTCTTACCAATCTCATCTTCCTTTCAGATATTATCAGATGCAACACAGCCTCTTGAAAGTCAGAATTTTTCTCCTGTGGTGAGAGATGTAAGTTCTAAAAATAATTTTTTTCGATGGGTGTACTTTTCCCCACTGCCATCCCCCCCCCCCCCCCGCCCCCTCCCTTTCCTTCCTCCCTCCCCATGTCTCTGTCTCTTCTCTATCAATCATGAGCCCATGTTTGTGGGATTAATATGTGGATATTAAAGAAATGTCTTGTGTCATATACATTTAGGCAGTGATTACATCCAACGGTATTTTGACTGATAAGTATAAATATATCCAGAAACTCCGAGAGAGCAGGTAAGCATTGTTCTTATCTTGGATCTGATGAGTATTTTTTAATGTTTCAATGTTAGTTCAGAAGAACTAGGTTTATACAACAGGAAAAATTTGAAAATGCCTATAAATATAGGACCACCCAAACTAAGTGACTGGTTGAAACCAGTGTGAATTATTTTCTCTGGGACAGTGTTGGGCTGTATCCTATTCTGTGTAGATTTGTATGCAAACCAACGTAAGTCCAAAAGACCACCCTTTCTGGGAACCCCCCTCTCTAGCACTTTGCCTGTTGTCATGTCTCTGTTACTTGCTGAAGGACAGTGAGCAAACTAACTCTTTCTGAGGTGCTTTCAGTCTGGTTTTTAGTTGAGGGTTTGGACTCTTTTGTGTAGTGTAATATTTAGGAAAGTGGGCTCTTGGTTAGAGAGTAGAAGCTGTGAAGGAAGAAAATGATCAGAAGTCGGCTTTCCCGGGGATTCTTCCTAGGAGGAAGGTGCCAGAAAGTACCGTGACAAGTCTGCCCGAGAGAATAGTTCTCACAGGAAGGCACTTAGTTAAGGCCCTCGTTCCCTCAACTGCTTTTCCTACTCAAAGTTTGAAAACGTTTGGAATGTTCTTGTCCACTTCAGCTGAGTGCACTTGGTTTGTGTTTAGCTCTGCTCCCCACTGGTCTATTCTCATCTAACAAAATAACCCATGCACTGAATGCTCAGGAGAAAGCCGAGTGGGGAAATTAATAACAAATAAACAAGCAAACAGATTGTCTTATCTGCTTTCTCAATTGTTGTCTCTACAAGAGGTAAATGAAGAGCGCTGCACAGATCTGTTATGCTTTTTCCATGTATTTGCTTGTAGTTACTGTTTATGCTTCAATGAAATATTTTGGCATAAGACAGCAAGAGTGTGTAATTTGTGTGTCAAAAAAAAAGCTAACTCTGCAACTTAAGAGAGTTAATTATTGGGGAAACGTCATGTGTATTTGTTTTTTTATACTCCCTGTGTCTTTTGATTCTCATCACCTAATGACCTCATACTAATCCTAATGCCATATCCAACGTGACCAGTGACGAAGGCATCTTCACTCTTACACACCTCATTTCATGTGGCAGCAGGTCTACTTGGCTCCAGTCACTAGGGTTTCCTGCCTTCCTTCCCTAGCGGAATCTAGTGCCAAGAGAGTAATATGAAGATTGAATTTTGAAAGGAAATTTAATTATCTTGCACCCTGCCTTACTCTTATGTTATCTTTATCACTTAACACAGAGGTTATTAACCTGGAGTGTTGGGGGGTGTTGATGAGATGAACTGTATTAGAATCTAGGTACGATTTTTTTAAAAAAATTATTTTGAACACCACATTTAGACATTAAAATATGTTTCAATTATATACACTGTAGGAAGTGTTGTTAAGAAGCATATCCAATAATCAAATAAAATAGTGATATTTTCTGGGAGACGGTATGGAATGGGGGTAGAAGTTAAAGACCTTCCCTCATCAGTAATATAAATATTGGGGTGATGAGAGACAGGGACATTTTACATTTATAGTTATTTTTATTCAATCATAATTAATGAAAAAGTTCAAGTTTGAGAGATATCCTGGTCTAAAAGAGCTAAACAATAGAGCTTGCTGCTTAAGTTCCTGGCACCAGGCCATTTCCATGGTTGTACATTGATATCTGGGAATTTGATTCACAAGGCCTTTATTGAGTACCTATTGTATTTAAGACAAACTAAACTGAGAATCAATGGGTTTATAAAGATGGGTAAGACTTAGCCACTGTCTTGGAGATCATAGTTTGTTGGAAAGACAAAGAGTTACCTGTCAGGAAGGTACAAATTCTGAACAAAATGAACTGTTCAAGAATTAAATTCCTGCCTGGTAACTTCTCTTAGGTTTCTATATTTGAACCCTGACATTTGTGATTTTAAAGTTATGGTTTCAACTGTTGTCAGGTGATCCTAAAGATTAAGAACTAAACAGATGTCTAATATGGATAATAATAATCTCGGATTTTGTGTGGAGTGAATAAGGTTTTCATGGTAAAGCTTCTAGCACGATTTTGAATCACGTCCCCTGGGAGGACAAAGTGTGAGACCAAGTTACTCAATCGTGAGTAAGAGAGTCAATGGTCCAGCATCTGTGTCTCACTAGGCAAATGCATGAAAGTCTGTGAACATATACCTCAGAGATGTCAGGGTCCGTTGTCCATTGTACAAAATCTAAAATAATCAATGAAAAACGTTAGAGTAGGGAACTCCCGTTGAAGTTCTTTTTATGAATGATGTGGGAAAATTATTGCTTCATAGTGTTAACTTTTAGTTTGGTTTGTTGCCAGCAAGATTCTATTATTTAATTTTGTTGTTGTTGTTAACTGATACCCCTACCCTGCCTTTTTATTGATTTTTATAGGGAACGTGCTCAGTCACTTTCAATGGGCACCAAGAGAAAGGTCTTGGTCCTTGGAACTGGTTATGTATCTGAGCCTGTATTGGAATACCTGTCAAGAGATAACAACATAGAAATAACAGTAGGTAAATGAGCCCTAATATTTTAAGAAGAAGAAGAAAAACTAACTCCATGTTTCCCCTGTGAATTTTAAATGATTGTTTTGTTTCTAAACTTTGAAAAATTACTTTGGAGATATTAAAATGTGTTTGCTCTCTGACTAATAGAGGGAAATCTAAAATTTGGGCTTCTTTATTCTTGAAATAGGCTCTGACCTAAGGAATCAAATTGAGCAGTTAGGCAAGAAATATAATATCAATCCTGTTATCATGGACATCAGTAAACAGGAAGAGAAGTTGGCCTCCTTGGTGGCAAAACAGCATCTTGTCATCAGGTTAGTATTTAGCAAGAAATGATTGCTGCGTATTTTGTTGATGTTGTTATTTCGCTTTCCTTAATTTTCTAATTTTCAAATTTAGAAAACTGGTGGCCTTTCGTGAAAGTTAGCATTAGCAGAATCTGTTTTATATTTAATTTTTCTTGATTGAGTTTCCCTGCTGAATAGTGATAATGCTGTGGAACATGGTTATCCTGTAATGTTCCTCAAATAACTTATTTTAAGTTGCAAAAAGAGTGTTTTGAGGTAAGCACAGTGACTACTAAAAATAAAATAAGGGATATGTTTCACAAAAAATATATAATGATGTATCAAATCTTTTTGGTTTGAATGTTTCAATTTTAGTTTTTGATGTTTTAAAGTAAGTATTAATCAAGTTTGATATGTTGCATTTGTATTTTGTGTATGTTTTTACAAGTGGTATTTCTAAGTATTTGAATTAATTGAGTTAGAGTTATGGCACCTGGCTAGTTACTATATCACATAAACAATCAGTTATGAACTCTAACCCCTTTGTCTAAAAAAGCACCATCAATCAAAGTTCTATCATTCTAGTTCTCAACATATTATTAGGTTAGTCCGGCAGTGGTTGGCAAACTGCGGCTCGGCAAACTGCGGCTTGTGAGCCACATGCGGCTCTTTGGCCCCTTGAGTGTGGCTCTTCCACAAAATATCGACTTCTGCGCATGGGCCATGAAGTTTCAATCTCACTGTACATGCGCACCCACACGTGGTATTTTGTGGTATTTTATGGAAGAGCCACACTCAAGGGGCCAAAGAGCCACATGTGGCTCGCAAGCCACAGTTTGCCGACCACGGGCCGTCAGTGCAATTAATGCCAAATAAAAAAAATATTAGATCTAGATAACACTTTTAGTAGGCAAGTTTTCAATGATTGGAAGGTGGCAAAAAGTCTCCACTTAACCTTTCAGATGATGTAATTCTTAATTTTCTATTAATACTTTTTCAACAAAGCATTTGCAAGCATTTTGCTCATTGGCTTTTAAATTATTTCCATATTTAGTAATAATTTTTTATGTTTTTATTCTCAATTACATTTTATTTCTAGTATTATTTTGTATTGGTTTCAGATGTACAGAATCATGGTTAGACAATTCTTTCATTATTTGTTTATTTTTTAAAATTTATTTTTATTTATAGAGAATTTTTTAAGGAGTGTTGAAAATTTAATATGATTTTTCTGAGTATTCAAAAGGATTAAATAATGAACATTATTGAAGTATTCTTAATCTTCCAAAAATATACTACAACACAAAAAGTTAATGGGTTTCACTTAAATTTAATTTTCTTGGGCTTAAATAAATAGCTATTAATTTAACGATGTTATCTTTTTTTTTTAAATTTTATTTTTTATTACAAAGGGTATTACATATGTGTCCATTTTTTTCCCCGCCCTAGACAGTCCCCTAGCCTCCCCTATAACGATGTTATCTTTCTTCTTCTTTTTTTTAAATTGAATTTATTGGGATGGCATTGCTTCACAAAACCATACAGGTTTCAAGCGTACAACTCAGCCAAACATCATCTGCCCACTGCATGTGCACCCATCGCCCCAAGCAAAGTATCTTTCTGTCACAATTCTCCCCACCTTTACCCAGCTACCTCCCACTACCTTTTCCCTCTGGCTATCACCACAGTGTTGTCTGTGTTATATACTTAAGGGGTTGGTTGTTTCGTTTGTTTGTTTTGCTTAATTCTTTCACTCTCTTTCATCTAGCCCTTCAACACCCTCCCCTCCTTCAGCTGTCAGTCTGTTCCATGTATGCATGCCTCTGTTTCTATTTTGCTCGCCAGTTTATTTTGTTTGTTAGATTCCACACATATAAGTGAGATCATAGGGTATTTGTCTTTCTCTTTCTGCCTTATTTCACTTAGTATTCTAATCTCCAGGTCTATCCATGCTGTTGCAAAACGTAAGATTTCCTTTATTTTAAGTCCCAGTGGTATATTTTTTTGAGCTTTTTAAATTTTTTAAAAAATCTTTATTGTTGAAAGTATTGCACATGTAATTTTCCCCCATTAACCCCCTCCGGCCCACCCCGACCCCCCAGCCCAGGCCTTCACCATCCTATTGTCTGTGCCCATGGGTTATGCATATATGCAGACAAGGTCTTTGCTTTATTACTTCCCATCCGCACTCTCCCCCACCTTCTGTCTGAGATTTCACACTTCCCATCCGCACTCTCCCCCACCTTCTGTCTGAGATTTCACACTTTGTTCCATGCTTCTTTGTTTCTGGATCCACTGCATTCCTCAGTTTATTTTGTTTGTTAGATTCTACATATGAGTGAGATCATGTGATACCTGTCTTTTTCTGACTGACTTATTTCACTTAGCATGATACTCTCCAGGTCCCTCCATGCTGTCTCAAAGGGGAGGAGAGTCTTCATTTTAGTATGCTGCATAGTATTCCATGGTGTACATGGACCACAGCTTTTTTATCCCCTCACCTGATGATGGGCACTTGGGCTGTTTCCAGACCTTAGCTATTGCATGTAATTTTCCCCCATTAACCCCCTCCGGCCCACCCCGACCCCCCAGCCCAGGCCTTCACCATCCTATTGTCTGTG